CACTTGTAGGTTTATATTTACATACAGAATCCTACATTGCTATATATATTTTTAGATAAAGAACCTTACAGTGCTAGGTTTATGTTTACATAAAAAACATACAGTGGTAGGTTTATATTTAGATAAATAATCGTACAGTGTTAGGTTTATATTTAGATAAAAAATCCTACAGTGCTGGGTTTATATTTACAAAAAGAACCTACACTGCTAGGTGTATGTTTAGATAAAGGACCCTACAGTGCTAAGTCTATATTTAATAAAGAACACTACATTGCTAGGTTTATGTTTAGATAAAGAACACTACAGTGCTATGATTATGTTTAGATAAAGAAACCTACACCACTAGATTTATATTTAGATAAAGAACCCTACACTACTACGTTTATATTCAGATGAAGAACCCTATTTTGCTAAGTTGATGTTTAGATAAAAATCCCTACAATGCTAGGTTTACGTTTAGATAATGAACCCTACACTACTATGTTTATATTTAGATATAGAACCCTACACTGCTAGGTTTACAAGGTTAGTTTTATATTTAGATAAAGAACTTTACAGTGCTAGGTTCATATTTTGATAAAGACCTCTACAGTACTAGGTTTATGTTTAGATAAAGAATCCTACAGTGCTAGGTTTATGTTTAGATAATGAACCCTACCCTACTACGTTTATATTTAGATACAGAACGCTACAACGCTATGTTTATGTTTATATAAAGAACCCTACACTGGTAGGTTTATATTTACATAATGAATCCTACATTGCTATGTATATGTTTATATAATGAAACCTACACTACTTCGTTTATATTTAGATATAGAACCTTACAATGCAAGGTTAGTATTTATATAAAGAACCATACACTGGTAGTTTTATATTTACATAAAGAATCCTACATTGCTGGGTATATGTTTAGATAAAGAACCTTACAGTACTAGATTTATGATTACATAACGAACCCTACAGTGGTAAGTTTATATTTAGATAAATAATCGTACAGTGCTAGGCTTATGTTTAGATAAAGAAACCTCTCCTAGTACCAGGGCTATATTTACATAAAGAATCCTACAGTATTAGATTTATGTTTAGATGAAACTCTACTGTGCTAGTTTTTTATTTAAATAAAAATATATATACACATATAAATATGTCTATATTTCTATAAAGAAGCCTACAGTGCTAGGTTTATGTTTAGATAAAGAACCCTACACTGCTAAGTCTATATTTACATAAAGAACACTACATTGCTAGGTTTATGTTTAGATAAAGAACACCACAATGCTATGATTATGTTTACATAAAGAACCCTACCGTACTAGGTTTATGTTTAAATAATGAACCCTACAGTGCTAGGTTTATGTTTAGATAAAGAATCATACAGCATTAGGTTTATGTTTAGATATAGAAACCTATAGTGATAGTTTTATATTTAGATAAAAAGTCTACAATACTAGGTTTATGTTTAGATACATAACCCTACAGTGTTAGGTTTATGTTTAGATAATGAACCCTTCACTGCTATGTTCATATTTATATAAATAACCCTACAAGGTTAGTTTTATCTTTAGATAAAGAACCCTATAGTGCTAGGTTTATATTTAGGTAAAGAACCCTACACTGCTAGGTTTATATTTAGATGAAGAACCCTATTTTGCTAAGTTTATATTTAGATAGAGAATCTTACAATGCTAGGTTTATGTTTATATAAAGAACCCTACACTGGTAGGTTTATATTTACATAAAGAATACTACATTGCTATGTATATGTTTAGATAGTGAACCCTACACTACTACGTTTATATTTAGATATAGAACTCTACAATGCTAGGTTTATGTTTATATAAAGAATCCTACATTTGTAGGTTTATATTTACAAAAAGAATCCTACATTGCTATATATATATTTAGATAAAGAACCTTACAGTGCTAGGTTTATGTTTACATAAAAAACATACAGTGGTAGGTTTATATTTAGATAAATAATCGTACAGTGTTAGGTTTATATTTAGATAAAAAATCCTACAGTGCTGGGTATATATTTACAAAAAGAACCCTACACTGCTAGGTGTATGTTTAGATAAAGGACCCTACAGTGCTAAGTCTATATTTACATAAAGAACACTACATTGCTAGGTTTATGTTTAGATAAAGAACACAACAGTGCTAGGATTATGTTTAGATAAAGAACCCTACACTGCTAGGTTTATGTTTAGATAAAGAAACCTACACTACTAGATTTATATTTAGATAAAGAACCCTACACTACTACGTTTATATTCAGATGAAGAACCCTATTTTGCTAAGTTGATGTTTAGATAAAAATCCCTACAATGCTAGGTTTACGTTTAGATAATGAACCCTACACTACTATGTTTATATTTAGATATAGAACCCTACACTGCTAGGTTTACAAGGTTAGTTTTATATTTAGATAAATAACTTTACAGTGCTAGGTTCATATTTTGATAAAGACCTCTACAGTACTAGGTTTATGTTTAGATAAAGAACTTTACAGTACCAGGTTTATATTCAAATAAAGAATCCTACAGTGCTAGGTTTATGTTTAGATAATGAACCCTACCCTACTACGTTTATATTTAGATACAGAACGCTACAACGCTAGGTTTATGTTTATATAAAGAACCCTACACTGGTAGGTTTATATTTACATAAAGAATCCTACATTGCTATGTATATGTTTATATAATGAAACCTACACTACTTCGTTTATATTTAGATATAGAACCTTACAATGCTAGGTTAGTGTTTATATAAAGAACCATACACTGGTAGTTTTATATTTACATAAAGAATCCCACATTGCTGTGTATATGTTTAGATAAAGAACCTTACAGTACTAGGTTTATGATTACATAACGAACCCTACAGTGGTAAGTTTATATTTAGATAAATAATCGTACAGTGCTAGGCTTATGTTTAGATAAAGAAACCTCTCCTAGTACCAGGGCTATATTTACATAAAGAATCCTACAGTACTATGATTATGTTTAAATGAAGAACCCTACATTCCCAGGTTTATGTTTATATAAAGAATCCCACAGTATTAAATTTATGTTTAGATAAAACTCTACTGTGCTAGTTTTATATTTAAATAAAAATATATACATATATAAATATGTCTATATTTCTATAAAGAACCCTACAATGCTACGTTTATGTTTAGATAAAGAATTCTAGAGTGCTAGGTTTATATTTAGATAAAGAATCGTATAGTGCTATGTTTATATTTAGATAAAGAACATTACAAGGCTAAGTTTATATTTATATAAAAAAAACCTACAATGTTAGGTCTATGTTGACATCAAGAACCATACAGTGTTAGGTTTATATTTAGGTAATGAACCCTACAGTACTAGGTTTATATTTACATCAAAAACCCTACAATGCTAGGATTATATTTAGATAAAGAACCCTACACTGCTAGGTTTATGTTTAGATAAAGAACCCTACAGTACCAGGTTTATGTTTAGATAAAGAATCTTAAATTTCTAGGTTTATGTTTAGATAAAGAACCCTACAGTACCAGGTTTATGTTTAGATAAAGAATCTTAAATTTCTAGGTTTATGCTTAGATAAATAACCCTACAGTGCTAGGTTTATGCTTAGATAAAGAACCCTACAGTGCTAGGTTTATATTTAGATATAGAATCCTACAGTTATAGATTGATATTTAGATAAAGAACCATACATTGCTAGATCTATATTTACATAAACGACCCTACAGTACCAGGTTTATATTTACATAAATAACCCTACAGTGCTACGTTTATGTTTACATAAAGAATTCTATAGTGCTAGGCTTATGTTTACATAAAGAATCCTACAGTGCTATGTTTTTACTTAAAGAAAGAACCCTGCAGTGCTAGATCTGTATTTACACGAAGAACTCTACAGTACGAGATTTATGTTTAGATAAAGAATCCAACAGTACCAAGTTTATATTTAGATAAAAAATCCTACAGTGCTTGGTTTATATGTACATAAAGAATCCTACAGTGCTACGTTTATGTTTAGATACAGAACCCTGCAGTGCTAGGTTTATGTTTAGATAAAGAACCCTACAGTGCGAGATTTACGTTTATATAGAGGACCGTACTTGCTAGGTCTATATTTACATAGAGAAAACTACAGTGCTGGGTTTATATTGAGATAAAGGACCCTACAGTGCTAGTTTTATATTTAGATAAAGAATCCTACAGTACCAGGTTTATATTTAGATAAAGAATTCTACGGTTCTATATACGTGTGCCTGTGGAAGTTCTCCAGAGGGGACATGTTTGTATCCCCATGGCATTTCTTTGTTGTTATTATTCACTTCAATAACTACGATTTGTATATGGTGTATTTCTGGCAACTTCACTGGTAGTGTTCCCACCGTAAATATACGGTAAGTGTCTGGCTATTGTTTTACAGTAACTACAGTTTATATATTGTGTATTTCTAGCAACTCCGCTGGTAATGTTTCCACCGTTAAAATATGGCTATTGATTACAACACCTTCATTACGTCTCAGCTCAAGTTATGTTGCCTAGTCAACATTAGCCTTAATGGATAATTTTAGTTTAAGTAATTTATTTTGATAAAATAACTTACTTTTCGTACAATGTATGAACATTGAGTTAAACTGATAAAAAAAAAGAAGAATCCGTTTCTTTTCTACGTGGGAGAGGGGGTGGATCCTAAATACGCATCGAAAAGGTGACTAAAGTCATGACATTAAAAAAAAAAAACTTATTTCCGCTTGGGAAGAAACTGAAGTCACATTAATAGTTTTGTTTGATTTAGAGCAAAACCACAGTGGGTTATTTGCTGTGTACACCGCGAGTATTCGAACCCCAGATTTTAGCGCTGGAAGTCCATAGAATTATTACTGTTCCACCAGGTGACCGCATCAATGTGAAGTGTACAACGATAAATATAAGTGAGCGTATAGTGGCCATCGTTAAAACCAGTTTGAGACATTGAAGATTTAATAATAACTTTATTAAACAAGAATACACATGCAAGCAAGAAGGTAAATATTGTCGAAGGGACTTGAATTGATTATAATGTCAGATTATAGGAATGGTGTAACTATCGATGTCACTACGTAACTTCTGTTGCCAATATGTAACTCCTGGTATCAAACTTAACGTCTTGTGTCACGATGTAAGTTGTAGTGTTAAGACGAACTTCTGATGTCATAATGCAGCTCCTGGTGTAAGACGTAACTTTCAGTGCCACAATATAACTCATGGTGTTACGATTTAGCATCTGGTGTTAAGACGTAACTTTTACTGTCAAAATGGGTCCAAGAAGTAACCTATAGTGTCACGACATAATTCCTGATGTCACAGTGTAATTACCTGTTTAAACATGTAATTCATGGTTTCAGGACGCATTTCCTTGGGTCAAGTCCATTTTCTTCGCTATCAAACGTGAACAAAATTAACCTCAACTACATGCTACATTAGTTTTCATCATATTATATACATATATGTTCTTCAACAGAGCTTACATAAAATAAAAAAAAATCTTATGCTACCACATCAAGGTAAATTAATTTTGTATAAGTTAAACCGTAAGTAGTTTCTTAACCTAACTATAAAGTTTTTAGTGTCATCCTCCCAGCGCCACCTGTCTTAAAAACACGAAACATCATACACAATACTGAAGAACGATAATTGATAAGTTAACTTTTCAACATATGCAAATAAAATTCTCTATGACAATCTTCTTCATTTCGGGATATTTAAATACTAGTAACTAATATACATACCACCAGAAACTACTGTGACTTGGCTTTTTGTATTAACACTTAGGATTTGAATCCCATAATCCTACGAAGCTCCACTTCATAGTTCTCTACTGAATTAGTTTATTTGTTGATCCCTCCAAAGCAAGCTCAAGCGGACGTTCCCACCATACAGACTGATTTTATGTAAACATCCTACATTATCTAAGTTCGTCAACCTTTCTAAAGTATGATGGTAATAATACTTTCATCCCACCTATCCAGAATACACTGACTTCCTTATATGGGCAGGCATTGCGATATAAAGTAAAACACGTCCATTTTTGTTAAGTTACATTTAATGTTTTAAAGTTAAACTTAACTTTAAGGTTTAAAGAGTCTACTATAATAATTCAATATTATATCGTGTATACTAATGGTTGAAAGTGAATTCCCACTTTGAGATTTAAAGAGTCTACTATAATAATTCAATATTATATCGTGTATACTAATGGTTGAAAGTGAATTCCCACTTTAAGGTTTAAAGAGTCTACTATAATAATCCAATATTATATCGTGTATACTAATGGTTGAAAGTGAATTCCCACTTTGAGATTTAAAGAGTCTACTATAATAATCCAATATTATATCGTGTATACTAATGGTTGAAAGTGAATTCCCACTTTAAGGTTTAAAGAGTCTACTATAATAATCCAATATTATATCGTGTATACTAATGGTTGAAAGTGAATTCCCACTTTAAGGTTTATAGAGTCTACTATAATAATCCAATATTATATCGTGTATACTAATGGTTGAAAGTGAATCCCCACTTAAGGTTTAAAAAGTCTACTATAATAATTCAATACGTTATATCGTGTATACTAATGGTTGAAAGTGAATCCCCACTTTAAGGTTTATAGAGGCTACTATAATAATTCAATACGTTATATCGTTTATACTAATGGTTGAAAGTGAATCCCTACTTTAATGTTTAAAGAGTCCACTATAGTAATCCAGTACGATACATTGTGTAGAGTAATGGTTGAAAATGAATCCCAACTTTAAGGTTTAAAGAGTCTACTATAATAATATAACACTTTATGCCATGTTTATCTACTTGCACGTGTGTCGATCCACAACCTTTGTGCACGTTTTACATTCGACGTAACAACACCAGTGAAATTTACATTTGCACCTTTCTTTCAACACTGCCTTATGGGTGTTATACCCTCTACCACAGCACATAAGGTTACAGCCATCTGTGCCTGGAGCTGTGCGGTTACACTCGCGGCCATAAGTACCCAAGGATCCTGTAGTGTGGTTTTTAACACAGTAATCAGGGGACTCCTCCAGGTAGACCAGGTCCTCCGCTGTGGGAATGTTAAAATGGGGATTTTTTAACTGTAGTTTTCCCCGTCTGTTTATTCTCACTTCAGTGGCACCGTCGTATTTATCCTTTAGGTGGTCCCCGACCTCACGGAAAGAAGATAACTGCTGCCAGCACGTGACCAGAGAACAGGAACCGGAAACGCCGTGACACTTGCACGTGACTTTTGTCTTTCGAATTACAGCCTGTAAAACACCACCATAATGCTTAACATTTTCATTTGACTTAGGATTTGGATAGGAAAATCAAAACTATTAAGCTATTTCAAATTAAAACTTATCGAATAAAGTATTTTAACTTGTCGCTTTTATAATTTCACACCTATATAATCATAATTTTAAGAGAATATACCTTGATGCAGAGGACGAGAGATTGTAAAAGCTGTTATGAATAACACTCTCGTGCTCTTGTGTTGCAAATACTCTTAACCGACGTTTGGAATATTTCAAATTCTGAAGTTACTAGCATGTCTTTGAACATGCGCGTGATCTGCTTATATAGTTTAGTTGAAAATATGCACAATTCAAATTAAATTACGTTTTACTAATATTCCTCTCGAATAACCGTTTTTATTAGGTTAATCAGACGAACTAGTTGTGTTACAATGTAACTACATTAGGCCTAACGAGACTATATGAAGCCTACATTGTCTAATTCTAGGATTAGAACATCTTGCAAACGACTGAAAAGAACATACAAGACACTAATAAAACATAGGGAGTCCGTTTAATGACGTCGTTTGTGTATGTCATATCCCAGCTAGTCTGAAGAGCCCCTGTACTGGGTGAAAGGCCTCGTCGGCAATAGATATAGCAGATATAATATTATAATACACTATTTTTTTTTTACTTTCACTTGGAAGACTTTATTAATAACAAGCTACAGGTGATGTGTTACAAAGCAAGAATGTGAAACCTATGATGTCATCTTTAAGCCTCGTTTTGGACAATCTATTAAGAAACTACCAATGTACGTGTGTCACAAACAGGTCTCGATTTGACAGTTGATCATTATAAAAGTGTTAGTTTTATATTTAAACAAAACCGAAATGTTCGACATCTGCAGTACACACCAATAAAGAGTGATGTTAGTTTTAGCACAAAGCTGCACACTGTACAATCTGTGCTGTATCTGCAACGGGTATCGAAACACGAATTATTGTGTTATTAAACCTGAAACTTACCGCTGATACACCGGGAAACTAACGTTAAGCCATAAAAAAGCAAGAAAAACATTGCAACATGGGTATTTGCTCATCAACAACCCAGGAAAAAATATATAATTTATCATGTTAAACATTGTATTTCACACTGCATGAAAACCTGATTATAGTTTCAAAGATCGTGTTTTCAGAAAGTTTGATTTAAGAGTTATATTGGAATAAACGTTGTTCATCGAATGTCTTTTTTTATTTCCTTTACTTATTAGTTTTACTGTGGTATAATTGGTTATTATGTTAGGTACAGGTGCAATACGTAGTGTTAAGCTTGATGTAATTGGTTATTATGTTAGGTACAGGTGCAACACGTAGTGTTAGACTTGATATAATTGGTTATTATGTTAGGTACAAGTGCAACACGTAGTGTTAGACTTGCTATGATTAGTTATTATAAATCAAATGTCATTAAAGATAACACAAAATATCTTGACACCAATTATAACATTTCCTTCTTTGCTATAATACCGGTAAAAATTATTTACGAAATTTTATCCGAAGATAATTTCTTGTTGAGGAAATGGTTTTAAGCTTAACACTACGTATTGCACTTGTACCTCACATAATAACCAATTATATCAAGTCTAACACTACGTGTTGCACTTGTACCTAACATAATAACCAATTATATCAAGTCTAACACTATGTGTTGCACCTGTACCTAACATAATAACAAATTACATCAAGCTTAACACTACGTATTGCACCTGTACCTAACATAATAACCAATTATATCAAGCTTAACACTACGTATTGCACTTGTACCTCACATAATAACCAATTATATCAAGTCTAACACTACGTGTTGCTCTTGTACCTAACATAATAACCAATTATATCAAGTCTAACACTACGTGTTGCACCTGTACCTAACATAATAACCAATTATATCAAGCTTAACACTACGTATTGCACTTGTACCTCACATAATAACCAATTATATCAAGTCTAACACTACGTGTTGCACCTGTACCTAACATAATAACCAATTATATCAAGTTTAACACTACGTGTTGCAACTATACCTAATAATAATAACCAATTATATCAAGTCTAACACTACGTGTTGCACCTGTACATAATAACCAATTATGTCAAGTCTAACACTACGTGTTGCACCTGTACATCATTTATTCAACAATCTGCATGTTATAAATGAAAAACAAGACAAAATCACAATATTTACTTTAAAAATTTAACCACGTCCGCTTCATTTAGTGGGTCGTGCAGGTGTCTTCACTGTATACAACGCATTTAATAAGGTTAATACCACGTATTTTTAGGGTTAACGCCACGCATTTTAGACGAATAGCTTAGAGAACATTGAAGTATAATTATTTGATTTAACCCAGCGAGAAATTAAACCAGATACGGAATATTTAGGACTTGTATGATGAGATAAGAGTACCACAGAAAGCTAATAATTGCCATCTTGTATAATAACATTTTTACTTAATATATAAAAATCTATCTTTTAACACGATTTATCATAAAAATTGTGTTAATTTTTCACGTATTTCTTTCTATTCTTAGAGTTCACATGTCACTGTTATCATTCAAAACAATCTCTGGCATGTCTCTGGTGATCAGTGAATCGAACAAAAAAAATATAATTAACTCATGTC